CTGTGTCTAGCAACAGGATGTTTTCTTTTTCCTCTATAGTCATGATTACCCGGGGCTCCTCCATGGAGATGACAGTCTGGCCAGAGGGAGAAGGCAGAATATGCCCCAAGTCCCCTCATTCCTGTTGGACTAACTGGTAGGATGGGTCTGAGCTCTGGGGCCTCCGCTTCAGAGGGCAGACCGATCTCCAGTGGTCTCCTTTGCATTCAGGGCATGGCCCAGGGGGCTTCTTAGGGCAGTTCCTCTTGGCCTGGCTTTTAACAGTGGTAGCAGATGAATGTAGTTGTTGAGTTCTTCTTGGGTCCCTGAGAATTAGACTTAGGGTCTGTTTCTCTTAGTGCTACAGCAAAAGCAGCTGCTTTTTCTTGGTCTCTGTGTTTTCTCTCTTTGGCCTCCTCCTCGTCATGGCTATAGAATACTGAGGAGGCAATTATTACTAACACCTCAAGTGAGCCATCTGGGGCAAAAGCCATTTTTTGTAGCTTTTTCTCTCCAGCCTCCCATCCCATTGGGACCCCACAACCCCTTAGTGTCCTCTCCCCGACCGTCAGCACAGGCAGCAGGAATCTCAGTGCAGACCTCTCTGGAGCTCCACGTGCTCCTCCACTGCAGCCTGTACTGTCAGGGGAAGAATGGCTTCCAGGGGGTCTCCCCAGGTATTGTGCAAGGTTCTCCAGGTTTCCAGCTTCCAAATGGCTCTTGTGACCCTGGTCAACTAGACCTCTGAGTTTTCAGGCATAGTCGGTATTCTCATGTTCTCGGAGTCCTTGTTCAGCAGCTGCTCCTCCACTGACTCTGGACCTTTCTGGTTCTCAATGGTAGGGGCAAGAGTGACCTATTGTGTAGCATGTATTCCCAGGGGTTTCTCCGTGTTGGAATGATTCACGTACGTCCATGGGTGGGCCTCTGCAGATGGCGCATGGCGGGCCAATTGTGTCATTGCTTCTCTGTGCCATGACAGTTCTCAACCTTGTGGCTTCCTGGGCGCCAGGGGCCCGCCTCCCGGCCGCCTGCGCAGCTCAATAAAACTTTTTAAACAGTTCAGTAATATAGAAAACCTTAGATATGTCTTTAGACTGATGTAATATATGATGAGTCACCATATAATTTATCAGCTAAACATGGCCCCTTCTGAGAGTGAAGGCAAGCACTGCTAATAATTCTGTGGGGACAAGGACATGCACACGGACTCTCTGGGGCAGGCCAGGCTGAGGCTCACTTTCTCCTTGGGAGCACTGGGGCATTTCAGTGGTGATAATAAGGAATGCAAGTGACTGTAGATGTGTGTAGTGAAACAGGAGCAGCTTTCAGAGTGATGTTTTGCTTCTTTAACTGCAAGTTTATTTATTTACTTTAAAAATACAGATCTGACATTGTTTTACTGTTTTCGATAACTGTGGTGTGAATTTATACTATTTCTTGGTTTTAGACACAGAAAAGGTTGCCTTGCTGAGAGTAAAGAAGCATAAATATCTAAAATAACTTGGGCTTTCCCCTATGTAAAATGACAATGCTGTTACTTTAAACGTTACCCTTCTCTGCTCTGAAAAACTTGCCTTAGAAAATGAAGTCCCAAAGAATGGCATCTCTTCCAGCTGGCAGGCACTGTGAGATGTGTGCCCCTGCCTTGAGCTCCGTGAATCTCTCTGGAGATGCTGATGCGATCACCCAGGCTCCATTAGGGGCCTGGGGTTTGGCACCCACCAGGCAGGACTGCTGCATCTGCATTGTTATGCCACCTCCGCCTGAAATCTTCCACACATTTTACTCATTTTTAGCAAATTATATGTATAAAACCAGGAGCCTCTGAGGTTTTGCCAACTCTGGAATCCCCTGGGCCTTGGAAAGTTCTATAATTGTTGCTCTGCACAGAGTAAGTTTTTACTCATAGATGTGAGGAGTGAATAATGGATTGAATATTGGTTTTTCGGTTTTTCTCCGGTACCAGGAACTGAACTCACGACCTTGCGCTTGCCAGGCAGGCGCTTTTGCCGCTGAGCTAAATCCCCAGCCCCTAATGGATTGAATATTGGGAAAAAAAAAACAAGAGAAGGTCTGCTACGGTGTCAATGGTCAGGGGACTTAATTTTCTGACAGGAGTGAGGGGAGCTTCCCAGATGCAACTTATTTCACTCTATTTGATAATGGGGCTGGCTCAGTCCTCAGGAAGCCCTTCAGCAAGGCCAGCGCATGTGCAGCCCACTAATGCTTCCCTTAGAAACGCACTCACCCCAGCCACCTACGTCATCGAGGGGGTTTCCCAGCTGAGTAATTCAGGACTCTAGCAGCAAGGTGTAAAGAACAGCAGCCATCATGGGACAATACACAGGCCACAGCTTGTGCTGACAAACAGAAGATTAGTAATATAATCTCCTAACTTCACACAACAGGACAAACATGGTAATATTCCACTTCTGTGAGGAGTATGGAACAGTCCTAGAGACAGGAAGTAGGATGGGGTTGCCGGGGCTGGAGAGAGCAGAGGGTTAATGTCGAATAGGATGAGAGATTTCTAGAGTTCAGGAAGATGGAAGTCTTAGTAGTGCATGGTACAGCGATAGTTGCATGACAGAGTGAACGTACTTAATGAACTATAAAATAAAAAGGATAAAATGGTAAATTTTGTGTTTTTCAAATCACAACTACAATTTAAAAAGGAAAGAAAAGAAACAACCTATCTCCTGAGAAAGGCAAGATTGTGTGCTGCCTTTATTAAGCACTAACGGGAGACCCTAACTTCTGTCTTCCCGAGAGGTCAAAGGGTGTCTTTTTATATGGGGAGACTGTACAAAAACCTTAAGCTAAACCTTAGGCTTTTATGAAAGCTGGCTACAAAGGAAAGAAAAAAAGGCCCTGAGATATTTTCAGTATTTCAAATACCCACAGGAAATCATATGAAAGTTGAATACCTGTAATCTAAAATTCAGAAATCCAAAATGCTAAAAAATCCAAAGCTTCTGGAGTGCTAACATGATACCACAAGGGGAAACCCTATACTTCTTGTAATAGGCTGCAGTCAATGCAGTGCTCTAAAAATATTTTATCAAACGCACTGCAAGGTACGGGCACCAGGAGGCAGCAGATCATGGACAGATTTCGTGTTCAGGACCAGGTCCCATCCACACACAGCTCATTAGCTGGGCCCAGTGGCACACACCTGTAATCCCTACTACCCAGACAGCTGGGCAGGAGGATCCTAAGCTGAAGGTGAACCTGGGCAACTTATCAAGACCTTATCTCAAAATCAAAAGGGTTGGGCACGTAGCTCAGTGGTAGAGTCCTGGCCTAGCACACGAGGCCCTGGGTTTAGTCCCAAGTACTACAAGCAAAAAGGCAACTAGCTATGACACATCTGTAATACTCCAAAAGTATGAACAATCTGAAGCACTTCTGGTTCTCAGCACTGAGACAAGGGATGTTCTACGTAGACAGCACTTACAAGAGCAAATCAGACTGTCCTGCCCTGGAGTTATGTCATCTCATAGTGGCAACAAAGGCATCTGTCTCATGTGATCAGAAAGCCTGAATACGCCAGGCCTGGTGGCACACACCTGTAATCCTAGCACTCTGGGAGGCAGAGGCAAAAGGGCCACAAGTTCAAGCCCAGTCTGGGCAACTTAGCAACTTAGTGAGATCCTGTCTCTCTAAAAAAAGAGATCAGATGATGCAGCTCAGTGTGAAGGCTCTGAGTTCAATTTTCAGTACCATAAACAAAAAAAGAAGAAAACAAAACACCCTGGCCATCATGGTGAGTCTTAGTAAAAACAAATATGGGTACAAATGATCATTTACTACAACCAGGTTCTTCTGGAGAGAAAATATTTTAAAACCCTGCTATGCAAAGGCAGTCTGTGGAGCAACAGTGGTAGTTTCACTTGGGCCTTTGCTAACCCAGAATCTTGGGTCCCACCCAGACTCTGGCTATCAGAATCTGCTTTTAAGCAGGATCTCCAAGATTGAGTTATACCTTAGAGTTTGGGAACAACTTTAAAATCTGGAATCCGGCTAGGAACACTGCACTCAGCATGCCCTGAGGTCATGGGGTCAATCTCCAGCAGACAGGGAATCCTGGAGAACAATATCTAAGAACTTTCTAATGAAAAGTTTGGAATTCCTAGGGAGGGAAGAAAAGACATCCACCTGGGCTATCGAAGAATAGGCCCTCCTCTCTCCAGCCCACTCCGTGCTGCCAGCTCGACACTGGTGAACTGCCTCTGATGTAAACACCCACAGAGCAACGCAGACCTGGGGCTCCCCAGCTTTCTCTCCCACTCCCTCCTCACCGGCTGCCTGTTCGTGTGCCTTGTTCTTCTGTGTTTAGCTTAGTTTCGTTCATTCTCTTCCCTTCCCCACAAATTTCACCTTTCAAGCCCTGTTCATGGGTCATGACCTCTAGAATATGGCACTACAGGTGCACCAACTCCCCATTTGTATCTCAAGGTAAAAGTGGAACCCCAAAGGCAGGGTATTTATGCAGACCTGGCTGCTTACAATGTGACTTAGGTCAAGTATTTCACTCATGTGCTTTAGAATTTCACATGAAAAAGACAGTAGTCAGACCTGCCTGCTAGCTGTCCTGGGGATCATGTTGAACAGTTCCTGACACGCACTACACTTACCACTTGGAGTCATCTCAGGCGTCAACTCTCAGATCTCAAGGTTGGGGCAGGCTTTGATTATCTGCAACCCTCAGAAAGAGTGGAGACCTGGCGCTCACTGCTATGTCTGAAGCAAGCTAAGAACTTCTGCTGGGGAAGTGAACAGGAAGCATCCTGGTGGGGTCCTGTTCTCTCCAGGGGATAAGAAAGCAATGTCAGGGTAGGGGAGGGGGCAGGAAGAAGCACCCCAGAAGGGTGTTAGGATGAGAGGGGAGGAAGTACACCCAGGGAGGTGAGAGCAGCCTCAGATAAGTCTCAACAGGTTGTGTGGAAACCGAGCAGAAAAAGCAGCAATTATTCATCAGCAAAGTTAGTGGCTACTCCCCCAAACAAGAAGAGGCATTTTTAGGACCACAAAGAGGCCGAAGTTTTTAATTGATAACTCAATCTTCATATACATTATTGCACAAAGTATGAGTGGATCAACAATTATATTACCGATAACAAACTCATGAACATTTACATGAAAGTACTGCTCCAGGTTTTGGTGCATTTTGTGCAGGTACTTTAGTAAACAGGAGGAACGAACTCACTACGGTAACTCATGACAATCAGCTTTCAAAAAAAGCATGTATGTCATCTCAGAGTACTTACTATGTCAAACCCAGCAAAACCCATAAAGTAAGTGACACCAAGGGGCTTTTAAAAGAAAAGCTGGTTATAAAGAGTATTAGGTTAAAATGTTGTTCACAACATTGGACTTAGAAACCAGAAGTTTACACATACTGGGAATTAAAAGAGCCCCTTTTTGGCTTCACAATTATTATACACTCTGAAGAAGGCATTCTCAGCTGATACCACACTTTCTCTGTTAATATCAACCACTGCTTCAAAGCGCCTGAAGAAATATGAAGGAAATTCATATAAAAGGTTTTTGAAATAAGATTTTCCCTCTCAAGATAAAACTGTATGATCTTCATTAAATTACACAGAAACTATCCAAATGCTGACCAGGTGAAGAAGCCAGACCACATTTAGCTTTGTTGGCTGGATGGACATAGGTGTCGCCTGTGTGGATGGGGGACCTGGGCACAGAGCCAACTCTCCTCTGGTGAGCATGGTGTAGACACAAGCCTTAGGTTTCCCTGGAGTTGTGTCTTATGCACATGGAGCTGAGGTGGGTGGTGGGCTACACAGATTTAAGAAACCCTCCAGCTAACAGGAAGGTCTCTGAGTCAGCCTGAGGTTCTATCTTTGAGGAAGCAAAAGAAATAGGTTAAAAATAAAGCGAGGAAGTCTTTCTCATCTTGATGCCACCTCTCAGAACTGCTCTGCAGTTCAGTGCAAAGGAATGCAAATGAGGCATTTGACAATGACATTTTGAAAAAAATATACAAAGCCCATGGCAAAGCAGGTATAGTGGTGCACACCTGTAATTGATCCGTGATGCAGGAGGCTGAGGCAGGAGTGCAAGGCCAGCCTATCTCAAGAAAGAGGAAGAGGCTATGCCAAGTTTGGGCAGAAAAACAACATGCCACCAAGTTACCATCAGCAGGCAGGACTTGTAGCTTCCGAATTTTAGAAGCCATCAGTCTGGTTGGAAAATGCTGAGGGAGATGCCAGGCGAGCCAACAGCGAGCTAATCAGCAGACACCAATTTACCCACTTCAACTCCTCCCAGGAAGGCAATTTTCATGAAACTCGTTCTAAGCAAGTATGCAAGAGTTAATTGCAAGGCAGACTTTGTCTTCTTTACAGAATAGTGAGGGATCCAAAGAGGATAATGGCTTCTCATTTTCTGCCCCCGCATGGAATATACAAGCATCATTTCTCCTGGAATCTAACACACTGGCTTCATTTTCAAAATGCATCACTTTATTTCCCCACCTGGTGGCCACACACTGTAAGCCTTAAGCACTGACAGTCACATGATTTCTTCAGCAAGCTCCAAGGCTCCTGGAAGCTTCCCTGGATTCCACAGCCAGAAGAGTCCTGAGATTTCAAATATTAAAGCTTTCTCCACAGCCACAAGTTCCTTTGATATTTGGGTTATTGAAGACAAACTCACTGGACAATTTGTCTTCAACATAGTCCATTTCTGTTCCTAGAAGTGTCAGCTGTGCTTTCTTTTCGATGAATACTCTGACTCCTTGAGGAAAGAAAACACGTGTCATACAAAGCCTGCAGCCCATGGAACCTGCTGATTCACAGCACAAGGGAACCTTAAATAGCACCCACCCAACAGGAAGCTTCTCAAGGGGTTTCACGATCCCCTCGCAAGGGGTAAGCACTGTTTCCCCACTCTCTGTTGAAACTAATTAGGTCAGACTGTTTTATACAAGTGAACTTCATGACAACTCTGTGCAAAATTACAATTTGCCTTTGGTTGTACTCATTTATTTTTTTCAATTTGTAACATGAACAAATATGTGTATTTTCAGTGATAGTACTGTCTGTCTTTGTGGCGCTGGGGATCAAACCCAGGGCCTCATGCATGCTAGAAAAGCACTCTTCTCCTGAACTCCAGCCCCATACAAAGTTTTGTGAAGACGGAGTCAGTAATACTCATGGAAACCTTGCAATGCTATCTTATCTACTATACACTCCATCAACACATTGCCAACCCTAAAAATATGCAAAGGATTGTCTTAATAAGACTATTTTAATAGTATCATAGTTCTGTTCTGGTTATGGGTTGAAAAAAGAATAATATTCCCTAATTATGTAGGTAGAAGTTGACATCTTGGCACATATAATCAGGTTAAAAAAGCTGTCCGCCTTATAAGCAATTGAGTCATTACACAACATGAATTACACATAATTACAGGTCTTCTGTAAGATGAAAATATTAAGGTTTATGACATTTTGAGTTGATCTTAAAAACATTTTTAAAAAAAATCTAAAAAGCATGGTCTTTATTGGCTAGTGACTCTGGTTTAGTAAGATGAAAGCAGGCTTCTGATTCCATGCCTTACTCTCCCACACAGGCATGGCTGCAACCTGGCTAGGGATGCTCCAGGCATGCAACTATCACCACACACCCACGAACACGTGGGCTCTCCATGTTATAGTACTATTTATCTTGTTTTAAACAGGTTTCCATCACACCATTGGGTTGGAACAGGGTTGCTGTCAAATATAATCATGAAAAAGCTGAAAATTTTAATAAAAATCCAGATGGAGAAATTCTTCAAAACCATGAACTGACATTATTTGACATACACACAAAAATGGCTGGTTGGTTCACTTTGAAGTTGTAAGATCCTAAAATCCTTCTGGACACAGTGATGAGCTTTCAGAGTTAAAACAAACAAAATTTTACCCAGCAATCTCTTACTTAGTTACTAAGAGCACAGCCTCAGGACAGAACTGATTGGCTTTAAATTTCACTAGGCCACAGACTGTGTGCCTTGGTCTCTTCATCCGGAAGAGGGGTGACAGGTCTCGTCTCCACTCGCTGCTGTGTGCTGATCAGAAGGCATCTGGGGTCTGTCAGGCTGTACCTCTCACCTGGCACATTTCCCGTGATTCCTGCTGTGAATCTTACTCACCACACCACGCAGGCTAAAGATTTTAAGAAAAAAAAAAGGTCCAGGAAAATGTGTCAAACACTCACCGTCCTGAACAACTTCTTCATCAGAATCTCCTTTTGTCTTTGTGTATTCTAGTGTGTAGGAAAGGCCATTACAGCCCCTGGTTCGGACCCCAACTTTCAAACCTACCTAAAAAATTGAAAATACAAACTTAGCTTAATGTAGAATGAAATAAACAATTATACTAACTAAAAACTTGGCTATTACTGTTCATTTTCTCCTAAACTAAAATGCAAATATTGGACTTCTGGTTACAAAATGGCCCTGTAAGTAATTTAAATGGAATAGGTAACATTTTAAAAATTTACCTACTGGATAATCATAACACTAGCAAGGATCCAAAAACCAACTGAACAAATAACTCCCAGCTACATACAAACAATACAAAGAACCCTACAATCAAAACAGTTGTTTTTCCCTAGTTTCTTCCAGTTCTAGTTAAACATATAACAAGAACACAGCTTTTATTATACCTAGACATAAAAACTTTACTCTTGATTTTGTTTATGCACCCAACATTATATTCCCATGGAATTAACTTTCTTAATTACCATTTGTAAGTAATACCCACATAATATCCCACTGTACCAGTGCACAATAATTACTTCTGTGTTTGTGCTGTGCTGGGGACTGAACTGGGGACTCACTCGAGCCAGGCAAATTGCTTCACTACCAAGCTACACTCCCCTGAAGTTAATTACTTAACCCTTACTATTAAACACCTAGGCTGGAAATATTTTTTAAGAAGGGAAGAGTTTTAGTAAAATCACTTTTTAAAAAAAGAAACCTGGTAATAGAGATGCCTTCTTCAAAACTGCACTTTCTAAGAAATGTTTCTAGTTCAGTTCATTTTAAGGTGTTCTCTTGCTGTTTCCTTGGTTAGGGTTCCCCAAAGGTCAGGTGCTACCCTCTAGCAAGAACATCTCTCTATACGGGAGCCTTCATTCTAAAGCAGACCCCCAAACATTCTTAAATATGTGAACAAAAAGCCTGCAGCCAACAGAATGTGAGAAGTTTACAGAGTCAGTTCTAGGTGCAGCTCAGTGGTAGTGAATAGCATGCTCAATGACCTGGACTTAATCCCCAGCACCACCAAAAAATGATGATAAGTTTAAAAAGTGGTCAGTACCTAGCTGGGCACAGTAGTGCTTTCCTGTAGTCCTCATACTATGGGAGGCTGAAGCCAGAGGATTTCAAGTTTGAGCCTCGCTTGAGCAACTTAGCAAAACCATGTCTCAAAATAAAAAATTAAAAAAGGGCTAGTGACATAGCTCAATGTAAAGTCCTGGGTTCCTACCCCTGTACTGCTAAAAAACTGCAGAGAACAAAACAACCCAAAACAAACCTCCTCCAAAATCAGTGTCTACCTTAATGAAATCTTCTAACAATATCTACTGGAGCTTACTTCTCCACTTAAGTATGCAGTCAAAGTATTACAATCTTACCCATGACTTCACCAACAGACACCGATTCTCTGAAAAGCAGCAATGTGTGAACAAGCAATCATGAAGTGGCCAATTTTATTCACCTTCAGAGTACCAACTTCAGGACATGTGAGAGAATTTCACATGCTCAGAATGGTAAATTGCTTGGACAAATTCCTGGACCACATGTCATAAGTACTTGTTTCATTTAGTTTTTATCTTTGTAAACAGGAAGAAGACTCAAAGCAAGCAGAAGGCCAAATATTAAGAATGGAATATAGACATTTAAAAAGTACCTGAGCTGGGCATGATGGGGCATGCCTGTAGACCCAGCACTCTGGGAAGCTGAGGCAGGAAGACTACAAATTCAAGCACAGCCTGAGCAACTTAGTGAGTCCCTGTCTCAAAATGAAAAAGGGCTGGAGATGTAGTTAAGTGCAAAGGCTGTGGGTTCAATCCCCAGTACTGCAGGGAAAAATAAAAATACAGTTTTAGGTAACTGGAATTTGGAAGAGATTGCTCATGCTATAAATCACACTTTTTTACATCAGTATGGACAAACATCCTTCAAATCTACAAAGTCACTTCCTGTTTCATTTGGTCACTTTACACTCTATGTCATCAGCCCGTCTGACTTGCGTTGGAATACTGACATCTATTATGTTTTGTAATTTTTTAGGAAGGCGGTCTGAGTCCTCCCATTATGTTGTCACGGTGATTGTACAAGTGGAACACAGGAAACACTGTGGTCTTTTTGTTGTTGTTATTCTTTCTATAGTCTAATTATTAGCTTTTTTTCCTTTTTTGGAAATAAGGTCTCACTATATAGTCCAAGCTGGCCTTGAACTTGCTATGTAGCCCAGGCTGGCTGATAACTCATGATCCTCCTGCCATAGACTCCTGAGTGCTGAGATTACAGGTGTGTACCACCACACCCAACTTAATTATTGACAAGTCACTATTCGAAATGATTTACAGTACTCTATCAAGTATTAACAATGTACTATGATTAAGATGATGCACATAGCCTAACTCAACAATTCTACATCCAGGAACACATTTTACACAGGTATATTAAGTCATGCTTTTATGTCCAGAACAGTGATGGTGAACCTTTTGGAGACTGAGTGCCCAAACTGCAACCCCAAACCCACTTATTTATCACAAAGTGCTAACATTGCAACTAAACCTGAATACTGAGGTTTTAGTTTAGGAAAAAACTCATATACTTGGCTTGAGTGCCAATATAGGGTTCTGTGTGCCTGCAGCGGCATGTGTGCCATAGATCGCCACCCAAGGACCTGGCACACTACACCAAGAGCCGCTGAATGCTTATGGAAGCAATGAAAGGAAACAACTCCAATGGCCTTTACCACGAGAGGCTGTTTAAGACTCAAACCTATTCAATGGTATGTGCTACACATGCAGCAATGGAGGAGGAGGCCAAAAGATCTTCAGGCTGATCAAGGCAAGAAGTACAGTGTAACCAGAGCGTGTACAGTACACGCTTATCTATACAGGAAGAGACAAACACACAAAGAGAAACAAGCACCATCTAAGCAGGTGTTCCCTTCGGGGAGATTTTGCTTGTCACCGCTTCTAAAGAGAGAGGATGCCCTTTGCACCTGGGAGTAGAGGGCCGAGGTGCTGCCAAGCATCTTCGGATCCATACTAAAACCACAGCAATGTGGAGGCTGAGAAATCTCAGTCTCACCACGGGGCATGCACAGACTTATCTCTGGAAAGACACTTAAAAGTTGCTTCTTGAAACACACATGAAAAGGAGGAGCCTGGACTGACAGTAACTTCTTTTTCATTGAACACTCCAATCCCTTTTTATTATTTGAATTTTAAGAATTATGAGAGGGGTTGCAGGTATATCTCAATGGTGAAGCGCTGGCCTGTAGCCCTGGTTTGACCCTCGAGCACCTCAAAAGCAAAAAAAAAAATAAATCCCTAATTAATTAAAACATACTGTTTATCACAACACAACCTTTTTTTTTACTGAATATTTGAGAGGCTTTACTTACATGCTCAGGCTTATCTTTAAGAAGTTGTTTTATCTTGTTTACAGCAGAAGGTGTCTGAAAAAAGAAAATGCTATTGTTTTTACAGGAACACAATTTGAACTTAAAGCCACAAGTTTACCAGTCTGTAAGAGTATTCACTCTGTCTTTAGCAAATTTATGTGTCAAACTTATGTTCTGTTCATACCAGGACACCTTGGTGCATTTTGTTCACAAATAACGTGAACTCAACTAAAAGCACTCTTTGTCACAATATTTGCTAGCAAACATTCTCTGAGTCTTGCTCCACAGTGAGGGCAGTTCTCTGTCAATCTACTTACGTCATGTGGTGGCTAACTGTCAACTCGAGTGGGAAAGGCCAGCTGAATGGAGTCAACCTGGTTTCAGGCATGGAAGACCTGTTTTGAGGAGAACTGTTGTGGCAACGGCGTAATATCAAAAGGAGAATGGGAGGGAAGGATTTCAGTGTGTTTTCTTCGGAGGAGCTCTGCTCTTTTCCTTTGCTTTGGATGGTATCTCTGCTTCTTCAGCTCACAGCACCAGACTTGCCCCCTGCTGGCACAGACTCTTGAGCTAGATCCTTCCACTTCTTGGCGCAGACCCTCGGGCTTCCATCAAGGATCTGGATGAAGCCTGGCCTTCAGCAGCCACACACACTTTCTGCACTCTTCTACATTTGATTATAGGCAGCCACTGTGAGCCCAATCTTGTACTTTCTCTGTCCTACATTAACTCTGACTCAGAGCATGTGGAGTCTTCTGAGGAGCCTTGCCCTAGCCCTGTAAGCTCTTGTAAGCACTGACTAATATGCATCACAAATGTAACTTCTGGGGGTAGTATCTGTTTTGTGCACCTGCTACACGGCCAGCAACAAGCACATTCCCAGACACCCAGAGACCTCCAAACAGCCAACCAATGAAGCGAGCATGTCACCAGAAAAGCCAACCTTTTGGTGTTTTTCCTGCTGATATTATTCCCATTATTTTTCTCCCTTCCTCATAATCTATTTCAAATTCATCAAAATGCACACATAAAACCACCCAGGGTGTGCTTCTCATACCAGTCTCACCAAAGGCTCATACCGATGTTCAGTGTGGACTGAACGAACAGCTCAAGCGCTCAAGACAGAAGTAAACAATTCAGTGAGAAATAAGAAATGTGGTCTAACCTAGTCCAGCATGTGCAGGTCATGTTACCAAATGCATCTTCTTGGGAAGGGGAGTACTTTGAACAGTGTGTCTGGGGGGGCCTTTCTAGTCCACTTCCTAGGTGGGCCCCCCACAATCTAGTCAAGCAGCTTATCTGACTTCCAGTCCCTTACTGTGAAGTGCGGATTAAAGCACCCCCTCCTCCTTGGGATTCTTGTGAGGGCAAGACACTGAAATTCATGAGAGGGGTTCTGTTCCTTTTGTCAGGAACAAGGAGCTCAAAAGAGCAGTTCTCATTACTATGGTGAGTGTACTGTAGTGAAGAGAAGAAGGTCTTCCTACTTCCTGTTTTATTAGCTCCTCCAGCTGCCAACAGTGGGACGGCCCTCCAGTTTTTGTGCCGACACTTCACTGGCTTGTGAAATCTCAGAGTCTGGGTATCCTGACCTATGCCACAATAGTGAACTGCATCCAGAAATCAGGTCTGTGCTGAGGAAGCAGCACAGGGGACAACCTCAGAGGATGCTCAGTCAGATGGTGACAATACTGGACTTATATTAAAAGGGTTGGGGCTGGGGGTTTAGCTCAGCAGCACAGGGCCTGCCTGGCAAGCACAAGGTCGTGAGTTCGATTCCTGGCACCGGAGAAGAACAAAAAAAAAAAAAGGAAAAAAAAAAATTAGAAGGGTATGAAACCATGGAAGGCTGAGATCAGTGTTTTTAAAAAATGTAAGAACTGGTTGGGTACATGTTGTAATCACAGCTACTCAGGAGGCTGAGACAGGAGAACTGCAAGTTTGAGGCCAGCCTGGGGAATTTCATGATAGCCTGTCTCAAAATCATACGCAGGCAATGGATTCACTCCCCAGTAGTGAAAAGGGCGGGGGAGGGGGGAGAAAAGTGAAAAAAGAAAACAATGCACTGCACTTAATAAAAATGGATGTTATTTAGTGAAACTTGTTTAGTTATTAATATATGGTACCTTTGTAAATATGTTTCTTATTATGTCGATGTTAAAAAAAAAAAAAAAGAAAACTCCACCACTGCCAAGTGGTCTCTGAAGGCCTTTTCCCACAGCTCTATCAGATGAGATGAGCTGCAGGAAAACATGGAACAGTATGCAGGAGGCAGAGGAAGGAAATGCAGGAGCAAAATTATGTGTTTTGTTTTGAGATCACAGAGTCTCAACCTAAAATAGTTACTGAAATGTTTCTCAGTGCTTACTTACACTTCTAAATGATTGCTACCAAAGGCTAGCTCTCTTCCATCTGTACATTTTCATGGGCACATTTCCTATATGGATGCTAAATAAATTAATCTACTATCAAACAAAAATTTTCAATAAATTTAAAAAAGGGGCATGGCAAAATATGGGGAATTGAAATTAGTTGCACAACCCTGGCTGAAGGTAGCAAGTCAGAAGTGCAGAAGGTAGGGGCTGGGGATTTAGCTCAGCGGCACAGCGCCTGCCTGGCAAGCGCAAGGTCATGAGTTCGATTCCCGGTACTGGAAAAAAAAAAACAAAACCAAACAAACAAAAAGAAGTGCAGAAGGTGCCTGTGAGAGCTAATGGGAACAGATGCGGGGGTGGGGTGGGGGCGTGCACACCTGTGCAGTTGGTAGGGCGCATCAGGGTGCAGGTGATTGTGGCGCTGGGGACTGAACACAGGGCCTTTGCGCTAAGCTAAGTCCCTGCCGTTTCTGTTTCATTTTGAGGTGTTGTCTCACTACACTGCCCAGGCTGGGCTCAGACCAGCAAATCCTCCTGTTAGCCCCCAAGTGCTGAGTTCCAGGTGGGTGCCAGCATGCAGCCCCAAATGTCTTTACTTCCACGTGGCAAAGTTACAATTTGGTTTTACAAAACAGTATATGAAGTATGATCTAGAAATATAGTGAATGTTTAAGTTAGTCCTGGAGAATGGTCCACTTATTACAATGTTGCTGATGTTCACATTTTATGCTGAACAGCACAGGAAGGAAAAGTAACATTAAATAAGAATCAGTGCAAAAGTGTTATAACAGGAACAAAAATTGCATCTTAAAATTTTCCTGTGTCACATGCAAACCAACTACACTGGAGGACAGCTACTAAGGATGGATAATCCAACTGAGTATTCAACCAAGGGAAAGTCACAGTTCTGATAATTTGTGATATGACTAATCTGATCTTCAAGACTGGTGAAAATGGCTGAACAAGGAACATCTGAGATTTTTTTCTTAAAACTCTAGATATAAAAGGAACTTTTTGCATGTCAGGACCAGGCAGAAACTAAGGACTCTACTTGGCTCTATCTAGGCCTATATGTATAATCTGGAAACTTTTTGCTTAGGTAAAATTAATCTGGAAACAGCATAAAATCTTGCAATGAACAAGCTACAGTGCCTGGCAGCCTTCTAAAAGGGAAGACAAATGGGAAGCCCACCCAACAAACTGATACACAACTAAGGACTGTAATTCTTGTTTTGTTTTTTTGAGACAAGGCCTCACTATGGGGTCCAGACTGGCCCTTGAACTCACTACTGTAGCCCAGGCTGGTCTCACACTTGCCACAATCTTCCTGCCTATGTCCCTAGAGTGCTGACATTACAGGTGTGTGCCACCACACCTCGCCTTTGCCTCTATAATTCATGGTGATTTGGCCTATGAATTAAAATTGAAGAAATTCTTGAAATCCACTGAGATTTAATGATGGCTTTTAACCTATTCTATCTAAATCCACTTAAAAATATTATCTCCAGGCTGCTTTCATCTCAGAATTGTAGGAAAAGGCACTCTAGATAAACATAACCAGTTCCTAGCAACATATTTTTACTTTTCCAAATGTTTCTGTTTGAGAACCTTTATCCTCAGTATTGTATTTCCTTAAGTTATTTCCCAGACAATTTTCATTTTGAAACAAAACTCAAAGTTGATTTTATGATTTCATGCCAACAACTACATATACATCTGATGTTCCAATGTTTAAAAGATGGTGAACAGGGCTGGGGATATAGCTCAGTGGCATAAGCACCTGCCTGGCAAGCACAAGGTCCTGAGTTTGACTCCTGACCAAAAAAAAAAAAAAAAATGGGTAAAGGACAATGCACAAGCTACAGTAACCTCACTGTCAATAGCACTGGCTGCCACTATGGTGTTCTCCTTGGATCTCTTCCTGTGCCTGTGTAAATACGCATACATAATGTCTGTAACTCTGGTAGTAAGAATTCTGTAGCCCCCATGAAAAAATTAACGTTTTCTCATTTGACACATGGTAATAGACCTACATGCACCACAGAATACCTTCTAGGTGTTTGACGTTTCTGTGTCCTTTTTTTTATTCTTACCAGGCTGTGATTTAGATATTAAAGATTATACAATTTGCATAACTAGAAAATTTTTCAAAACTTACGAGTATATACCATTTTACCAACATCTACTCTAGCATGTTTGGCCATTCTCTTGTTATACAGACCACATACACTGTTTTCTTTTTCCTTTTTGTGGTGGGATTGAACCTCGTGTGTACTAAGCACTTACCCTACTTCTGCACTTCCCCCCTGTTCGTAGTCCCAGTGTCTCTCATAATGGAGAACAGTAGCTCCTAAGTGCCTTCATGTACAAATGTTAGTTCTTGGTTACTGTTCCAGTAACTTCTGGTCCTAGCCCAATGAATTAACGGTTTCCTATTAAACATCAAGCCTTTCTCACCAGGTTCCACTAAACAGTTAAGCCCTAAGGCACCATCTGTCCCTAGGAAATCAACTGTTCTCCATATGTCAAAAATACACTGACTGTGCACATCATTGTCTCACAGAACTTTGGACACAGAGTGAGACATCTCTAACCCTAAGTTAGAGTTGAACTAATTCTGTTTTCTACAACAGTGACAAGGAAGGAAAGGTATCTGCTACCTGGGTAGTGTTTGAGTTTTTCTTTAAGCATATCTTACTCTGGCTCCTACCAACTGGATTCCATCTGTCAGGTCCTGGGTGGTGGTGAGGGGGATCCATCCTCCCAGGATGCTTCTGTGGGTGCCCAAGGTTATTCATGCTGACATACTCATTGTAAGTTTTGAAAAAATTTCTAGTTATGCAAATTATATAATCTTTAATATCTAAATCACAGCCTGGTAAGGATGAAAAAAAAAAGACACAGAAACATTAATTATCCAATCAAGGAACCAGCCCTGTTTCACAGGCAGCCTCTGCCAGCTTGAACCTTTCCCTCCCTCCAACAATCCACCAATCCCTTCAGGACTAACACTGGTTAATGCAAATGACCTGGTGCTGATGACATCCAATCATGTTTTCATGTCCTTCATTAATTTTCCTGGCCTCCTGCTGACCTCTAGTCCATTCCACAAGTACACCACTTTTCAAATACTGCAACATGGCAAATTCCTGATGTCAAAGATTTATATAGCCAAGTAACAGCCTTTCCTCCTGGTTTTACTGAATTATCTTTACCTTTGTTAGCTGTTGTCTGTCTCCACTCATTAAGCTTTTGATCAAATCACTACTTTTAAACCGGGTATGTTGTCGCACACCTGTAATCCCAGCACTCGGGAGGCTGAGGCAGGAGGATTGTTGCCAGTTCCAGACCACCCTGGGCTACAAAGTGAACTCAAGGCCACCCTGAACTGCATAGCAAGACCCTGTCGCAAAAAAAAAAAAAAAAAAAACAAAAAAAAAAAAAAATTCACTGCTTTTGTGCTCCATATTATCATGTTGGGATTAAAACTGTGAAATATTTGAAAAGTAAGCACAAACAGCAATACATGCCATACAAGTGTCTTGAGGTGAGGATACCGATGCTAGGATAAACTGCTAGTGCACTAACACAGACCATGTGGAAAAGTAGCAGTAACATGCCTTTTTTTTTTTTTAACCAGCTCCTAAGAAACTCCAAGAGCTTCTAAAGTCACCCTTAACACTAAGCACAATGAGTTACTTCTATGACAGCGCCAGGCGCAGGAGCCCTCATGACTGACAATTACTAGAGAATATGCAAGCAAGCAGAGGAGACAAGCCTAGGGGAGGTCAGGCCTAGGGTGTGAGATGTGTGTATTATTATTCCTCTTCAGAACGACATAGGCTTTCTCTAGAGCCGTGCCCTCGGAGGGAGGGAAGTGTGTAACTCACTGATTTCTTGTCCTGAAATACGGGAAGTCTGGATAAATGCTGCTCAACTAGCAGGCACGGGGAGGAAAGGAGTGACGCAAAAGTTCTGAAAGAACAGCGAACAAGCCAAACGATGAAGGAAAAAGAAAGGGCAAAAAAAATGTTGCTGTGTCCTCTAGCTTTCCTGGCTCTTTCATTACCGACGGAAGAACTCTGAATTCGGAATAATTTTTTCTCAGACTGAAATGAAACACATTCTAGATTCCATAGAGTACGAAAACAGGCATTCCACTACAGGAAAAATACAGCAAAAAGTAGGATGTATAATTAGAATAACCTCAAGGGCCTAAAAACATTCATCTACTCTAAAAACACACTTGCCCTCTCCGGATTTTCCTTTTTGCTTCAACTAATTTTCTGGCAATCGGCCTTACTATAGCATTAGAGGAAACGGACTCTGGGGTTCAACTTAAATCGTCTGATTTCCCAGTGCCTACGTGACGGCCTGCACCAAGGCTGGGTGTGTGAGAGAATACCAAATCGATACTAACCAACGTTGCTTATTTGGGTAAAAATGTGTTGGAACTACAGAGATAACAATTGCACGTTATGAATCTTCTAAATGGCACTGAATTGTACCCTTAAAATGGTTAATTTTACATTATGCGGATTTTCTCTCGTCTAAAAAAACACTGCACAAGCTGAAGCAGGAGAGTTCGAGCTCAGCCAGCATCAACTTAGTAATTTAAAGACCGCGTTTAAAAAAAAGAGAGAGAAAAGAGAAAGGGGGCCGAGCACGCAGCTCAGCGCGAGGGGGGTTCGCTCTCCAGGGCTGCTCAGCACCAAAGGAATCGCGCAGGGAGCCCCTGCTCCGGCTGGGTGCCGGTGCCCTCTGCGCCTGACCTTGTCCCGGAAAGCACTGCGGCGCAGCGCGCATACGGCATCCTCGCCCCGGAGACTATGCGAGGCCGGAGGCCGTGGGCGGCAGAAGCCCGCGCCGCGGGGACCCCACAAGCAGCCGAGGAAGAGGCCCTGCGCGCCGCACCAGATCTGAGGGCGCCCCTCTCCCCCGGGATCGCCCCGCGCGCATGGCCTGCCGGGAGACGTAGTTCAGGGCGCCCACCCCAGCAGCCCCGCCCGGGGCTTGTTTACCACGTTTACGGGGGCCGTTAGGGCCCCTGCGGGAGCCGGCGGCTGCAGCCGCGCTAGGACGTGCCTGCGGCCTGCTCCAGTCGCCGTGACCTCCCCCCGCAGAGGGCGGACGTGGGCCAATGTCACGGCCCGGTCGTACGCCGCGTACACTCACCAGCGTGAGGGCGGCACGGGTGGGCTGCAGTTTCCTCTTGCTCACAGCCCGGACGGTGGCCCGGACTAAGGAAGCCGACATCTTCGCCGTCCCGGCGCCGGGGTCCCTCGGGCCGGACCTCAGACCCCTCAGCCTCTCTCCATGGACACAGCAGGCGCACTGACGCCACAAGCACTGGCGCACGCGCCCCAGGCCCCGCCCTGCGCCGCCATTGGGCGGGCTGCGTGAGTGACGGGCCGGGCAAGCCGCATGCGTGCATGTAGGGCGGGGCTTCTCCCGGCGCTGCGGACGCTCTGTGACTGTGAGCGTCTTGGCCGTCGTTGCTAAGGCGACGCGGGTGGGCGATGGAGTGCTAGGGTAGAGCTGCGCAAGGCGCGGGCGGAGAGCGCTGGAACCGGGTTCTCTTTCCTTTAGTCTCCTGCAGGCTCGCCGCGAAGAGAATAGTCCTTCGAGGCTTAGAGGTGCGGAAGAAAGTCCGCCCAGCTGGCGGGAGCGGCTGTTCGGGCAGGGAACGGGTCGGACGTGTACACCCGTTTCCCATCTTCCTTTGTGGTCCGGAGAAGCAGTTAAGGGCTCAGACCACCGAGGAGCGGTGGATACGTCATCCCCAGAGTGTCCGGCTGCCGGCAGGCTCGAGGACGGGACTGATTGGCTATGCTGCTGCTGCTGAACGTGAACCTGATTTCACTGTAAAAAATGATTAATCACATTTACAGAGAGCACCTACAAGCCAGTACACCTGTTGTGAGACCTCGTCCTTCTTGCTCAGGAGCATAATTCTGTGTGAGGAGTTATTCCTGAGTGCCACGCATTGTACCTGACCATTCGCAGGAAGCCAGCAACAGGGCCTGGGCTCAGACTTGGAATCCTTGAGCCGCAGCCTCCCAGAGTGCTGGCACGCGGCACCACACCGGCTCTTTTTCAGTGTTTTTGATATGGAAAGAACGAAAAATAGACATTTTTAGAGTCTGATTTATGTTCGATCCTCTAGAGCCCATAAAGTGTGAAAAGCTAGCTCAAAATAGACAAGTAGTTCTGTCTTCCTGATATGGAAATGTATTTGTATTAACAGGGCGTTTCCGCCTAAATTCCAGCTGCACACAGAAGAAACAGGGATTGAGAGATGGTGGGGTGGTGTGTTTTTTGGCCTCATCTTTGATTAGGCCAAGATGATTTGAGACAAAACATTTTACTTTCTAAAAGATCATGTATGGCTTTTCTTCTTTTTAATGTGGTATTTTACTTTGCTTCTGCCTATACTATGAAGATCAAATGAATTAACACATGAAAAACCCTTGAAGAAAGCATGGTACAAAGCAAACTCAAACACACTATTTGTTCATAGATACTAAAGATGACATGTGAAACTATGTGCGATACTCTAACGATGGGCAGATCTGTCATGCATTTCTGGGAGCCCATACAATGCTAAAAGCCTAGTGTAGCCTGTCGCCTGAGAGACGGAGATGTGTCTGTGAAGGTTTATGATGGGACACAGTGGTGCAGAATGGTAATGGGGGAGGTTGGGGGATGACAGGAAATATATGAAATTCTGACCTCTCCAGTTCTGCTATGAACCTAAAACTGTTCTAAAAGTAAAATTTATTAATAAAGGATGCCACGTATCATTTTTTTCAATTATTGGACTGCTTTGCAGTTGCAGGTTTGAAAGGAACTTTTTTGTGCATTACTGAGAATTGAACCCAGGGCCTTTGCATTGCTAAGCTCCGTCCATCTCCTTTTCAAATGTTTTGAGACAAGGTCTTGCTAGTTGTGGAGTTTCCCAGCCTGTTTCAACTGTGATCCTCCTGCCTTGGCCTTTCAGAGAACTAAAGTTACAGGCATGCACCACCATTCCCAAACTGGGATGTGGCAGGATTAGAAGTCTGAACCCAGCTTGGGTAACTGAACAAGATCCTGCCTCCAAAAGAAAAAAAAAAAAAAAAAAAAAGACGGGTGTGCTATTATTGATATTACTAAATCAATAATGGACTTACTAAACAAAATGACCAGTGAGCTTAAAAGACACAAAAAAAGCAGCTGAACTAACAAAAATGATACAAAATATGAATAACAATTTAGTGAAGAGTTGGAATCCAGCTAAGTACCAAATAGAAGCCAAGGCCATAAGAGATTCTATTGAAAGTATGGAAAGCTGAAATGACCAAGAGTCAGAACTAGAAGATAGGGCTGGTGACTGTGACCATACTGAGATATAATAAAAGCAACAGTGGAACAGAGGAAATGGTTGTAGCTCAGTGGGATGCAGCTCAGTGTAAAGGCTCTGGGTTCAATCCCCAGTACCACAAAACCGAAACAAAAATCTTTGAGCACACTATCTCCCTCCAGCCTCACAGCCATGAGCTGGGGACGGAAGAATATGACATGGCTTTTTTTTTGGTACTGGGAATTGAACCCAGGGTCTTGCGCTTGCCAGGCAGATGCTGTGCCACTGAGCTACATCCTTGACCCTTAGATGCTATGTTAAAAATATATCATTAAATTTCTTGATTCAGGATCCTGTGTATGTTTTAAAGCCTTTCCCCCTCTTTAACTGTTTAGATTTTCATTTGATTAGCTGTTTTGTCTATAAGCACTGTTACATAATTACTTGCCAGTGCATCACGTGTAGCTAATGTCACTGGAAACTGGCAGAGGCCCCTACAGTAACTTGGTATGTTAGAATTCTCATGATTAGCTAAGAAATACATATGTGAGCACCTTTATCTCAGAGAAGCACCTGTCCTATGGTATGAAGATGAAACGGGTATGGGAAGTGCTGAAGGAGTTTGCAGTTTGCAACCTGTAACCACTTTTAGGTTCCTGCTAATATGTTGAGTAGGGAGACACTCAATACTGTTCTTCAGGATTTAGTTTCAGTTTTAGACACAGAAGTGTTTCCCCACTAAGACCTCTCCGATCTTGAGAACTCTGGAAGGGCAGGTATGATTTCAGTTTTATAGGCTAGAACAATCTGCCCGAGGTTGCAGGGCTTGTTGTACAGCTGGAACACTGGCAGGGCTGGACCCTAACTCTAGAGTTCTGCTTGGTGAAAAGCATGCGACTGCTTTGACTGATGCCATCCAAACGTGCCTGGTTTGAAAGAAAAAGTTCTCAGCACTCCTTTAGTTTTAATGGTGGGTGTTTTACTTGAGGGGGGGAGGGCTATAATGCTGAAAACCCCACTGATTGATCTGCCTAGGATTTTTCCATTTGGAAAAGTTTTTTAAAGTATTTGTACAATGTGAAACACATTTCAAAAGGATAAAGTTATCTAAGAACACTTAAAATTGCTTCTTGGCCTTTTGACTTAAGATCATGTGTAGAACACTTTAAAAATATCTTTAAGCTTGCACCTTAGTGCTACTGTCCACACTGAGCAAAGGATTTTGATGGGGGGTTAGACTGAGGTCTCTCGATCATTGCAATAAAAAAGATTTTATAGCTCGATGTGGTACACACCTGTAATCCCAGGTACTTACAAGGCTCAAAATACAAAGCCTGGGGATACAGCTACATCCCTTTCTGTACCGCCAAAAGGAAAGGATTTCATGTTTTTGTTTCTGAGAAAAGGTGGCAAGGAGAATCTTGGTAGTGGGGCACTGGGGGTGCTTGTTAGGACAGATGGGCCAGCTGTACTTGGACGATAGGTTACACCCTGAGCGTTGGGCTTGGTAGGGCGCAGATGCCCCGCCTCCCAGCCTGCACACCGGGAAGGGGCTGTGATAAGCACCCATGGGAAGAAGCAAGAGCACCCATTCTTAGAACTGCTCTCAACTACTCCTCACTGCCCTGTAGACCTAGTGTGAGAAGTCAAGAAATTTAAAACCCAAACACACTGGCAGAATCTACTATAGGCATCAGACTACAATGTAGGAAGCTTTTACAAGAAAGGAGATAAAAAAACTTTCTAAGAAAAGAAGCCATGGGCCAGTGGCATCATGGATAACTCGTCTGACTATGGATCAGAAGATTCTAAGAAGCCGGGTGTGGTGGCGAACACCTGTAATCCCAACACTTGGGAGGCTGAGGCAGGAGAATTATTGTAAGTTTGAGACCAGCCTGGGCTACAAAGTGAGCTCAAGGCCAGCCTGAACTGCATAGTGAGGCCTTGTCTCAAAAAGACAAAAACGAACAAACCAACATATTCTAAGCCTGGGCTACAAAGTGAGCTCAAGGCCAGCCTGAACTGCATAGTGAGGCCTTGTCTCAAAAAGACAAAAACGAACAAACCAACATATTCTAAGAAAAGAAAATATAAGTTAGAGGAAAAGTGAGCAAGTTAAGCTCAAATTAATTGGAAGTAAATGACAAAAGTTTGTGAGGAAGAGCAGCACAGATTGCTCTAATCGTGTGGAGATTAAACTTAACTTTTAGCATGATGAAAAGATCACAGTGGGAGGCTGACAAAAGACAAGAGTTATCTACAAGCTAAGATACTTTCTAAAAAAAAAATCTCTGGACAGACATTTTTAGATTGAGGCAATTTTCTTAATTATAAGGATAAACAAAAACACAGAAGCACCTCAATAGAAAAACAAAATGTACAGGGGAATACAAATTAGGCGCGTCTCAACTTCTCTCCTGTGAGAACGCTGTAAGACAACAGAAGAGCACAACAGGTCTTTCAAAGTGTGACCAGAGTTGGGTGCAGTGACCCCTGTGCCACAAGGCAGAAGGAGGCAGCTCAGCAACCGAGGAAGGTCACACGGAGGGGTCATCCCAAGCCCCAGGATCGGGAGTGTTCAAACTGTGTAAGGAACAACCATTTTATTGTTTTGCCAAAACTTGCAAATTCTAAAGTTCTTAATTTTGATCTAATTCTAGTATGTTCTTTCATTTTTCCCCCCTTCTCTTGGTGTAGTGTTAGGGGTTGAACTCAGGTCCTCTGCAATGTCTCCAGTCTTTTGTACTTTGAGATATGGTCTCGCTAAGTCATCAAGTTGCCCAACACGGGATCGAATTCGATCCTTCTGCTTCAGCCTTCCAGAACTTTGGGATGACACATGTGCACCACACCTGGCTCGACCAGTTTTGTATGAGAAGGGCACCCCAGCATTATCTTCTGCATTAACCCTCTCTGCAGTCCTCAGTGCCAGCCTGTGGGGTGTGCATGCCCAGCGCCAGGCACAGGGTAGTACTAACACATACAGTGATGGGGCACAAGTGCAGGAGGACTCGGTGTGCAGCCCATGCAAGAGGAGCAGATCTGCACCGGCCCTCCTCGTGAATTTATTTTCCTAATGAAACTTAGGACTCTTTTACTCGAAAGTAATGTGAGTAAAATTACAGGTTGAAATTTTATTTCAAAATGATAAATAAAGCGAGGCATAGTTTTGACCACATAGTACTTTGGAAAAGCTTGTGAAATTAGAGAAACAGTTCCATTGAGGGCTCCAGTCAGACCCAGAAAGAGAGCAACCACACTCAGGATTGGCTCAGACAGGCTCTGATCTTAGGTGGGGGTGGTTTAAAAGTTCTCCTCCCTAATTTCTGAATATCATAAAAAGTAAAAAGTACTTTTATCATCTTTTCTTTTAAAATGTTTTTACTGGCAAACAGGGCCACTTGTTTTCCTGATTTCGTTTTGCTGAGCATAGTAGTTCTATGTTGATTTATTACAGTCAGCGGGAAACACCAGTGCCCTGGCAGCGGCACTGCACATCGCACCCTGAGGCTCCCATCAATAGGACTCACTTCATGTGTTCACTTCTACAGAGAGCAGTAAAATAATGTTTGGAAGTACTAAGTACAGCAGTAGCAGTTCACACGTATGATACCTTCCACATGAGGATCCAGTAAACAATAAATATAATTCCCCTCTTCAAAACAAAAAAGGGATTTACAGGAAAAAAGGTGTTAATGTACTTGGGCTTTATCAGCACATCACTTTTAGTGTGCTTAAAGAATTAAAAACCATGAAGCCATATTCACTGAATACTGGCCCACAGTTACATTTTTTTCTTTTAACCTGGCTTAAATACATACATCATGGCTTTCTGTTAAAATCCTTACATCTATGGGGATTGGTGGTAGATAAGACAATATTAAAATTGTTTCCTCATTAACAATTTCATTGTATTAAAAAAAAAAAAATCTGCCATTTCCCTAGAATGTGAAGTTGAAGCCTGATCTAAGCTGCTGTGTCCTGTGAAATGAACCTAATTTTCTGAGTGAATAAGGACGCCTGAGTGTCGTTTAGAGTGTTGCGTCTTCTTCCCTCATGATTCCTGTGGGCTCCTCTTCGTCGAGGCTTTTCCCTGAGTCATGTATTTACTGGAAAGGCTTCCTAGAGGAGGGGAGAAAACAAACACAACATAAATAAAACAAGCCTCACTTTGCAAAAGCTATAACATTACTTCTTATGGTTAGTTATTCACAGCTTTCACTCCTGATACGGACACTTGTGCTGAATTAAGTAATTAGTCTATATTAAAATAGTTTATAAAACATGACATATTAGCATATACTCAGTCAATTCTTTCTAAATGCAGACAAGCTGCTAAAGTGGTACTGTCTCTGTGCGTCCGCATGTGCACTGTTTTTATGTTGCTGCAGAGGGTCAGACAAACCTGGCCCTTCAAGGACTACTTTACACACACCAGTGACCTCATTTGCAATTAACAGGATGGACTGCAAAGAATTCTCTGGACAGAAACAAAGAATTCGCATCATTACTCTGCAGATATGAGGCTGTGGATGGTGACAATGCAGTAATAACTTACTGACATTAAAGAAAAAATGAGTGACATTTACAAGAATGAAGATTACTTATTAAACCACAGCATAAGGCAATTACTACATTTTGTCCTGAAGTCTGAATAAAAAAAGCAATGAAATAAAAGAGCTGAAATATTCTTAAGAAACTGTGTATAGCAAGGTATTAGAATATAATGAAGAGTGTACTTCAAACCAATGGAGGAAAATATAGATTATTCAATAACTGGCATTAGGTAAAATAGGTAGTGGCTGAAGGAGAGAAGGAAGTTGTCCTCCTTCCTCAAGGTATACCTGTTCTCACTCATTTTCAAGTGAAGTACAGAAGTAAATGTAAGGGGAAGCAAGTCAAAATAAAGAGTAGTGAATATAGAAATCACGGGCAGGGAAATGCCTTAAGCACATCAGAGTACCTAAATGATCTACAAGTCAATATAGAAAGATGAGTATCAACAGATAGTTAGGATTGTTACGGTTCGTACCTAAATGTTCCCCAAAGGCTCATGTAGTCATACATGGTGTGTTCTGGAGATTGCTGGACTTAGGGCGTGAAGGTGGGTTAAGGCTGTGATACTTGGAGTAGGGGTGTGGTAGGTGGCACCAATCAACAGGCTTGTAGCCTAGACTGAATATAAAGGGACAGAAAAAAGGGAGGTTTGCTCCTGCTGCTGCCTTCTGCCCACCAGGAATTGCTGCCCCTCTGCCATGCTGCCCTGTGTTGGAGCCAGGCAACTATGGACTGAAACCGCTACAAACTGAGCTAAATAAACCTTTTCTCTAACTTTGGGTGTTGGGTATTTTGTCTCAGCAAACAGAAAAGTAATTAAGACAACGATTTAAAAAAACCCCGATAACATATGAAAGAGAAAAAGAGAACAGCAGAAATACATGTAAAACCACACTTAGCATTACCAGTCAAAATACAGATACCACCAAAGCAGTTTTAATCCATCAGATTTGTCAAAAATTAAAATTCTGACAAAATCCAAGTGTTTATAAAGATATGAGGAAACAGCCCATACTATGACCTAACAATCTGACTTGTGAGGTGGATAAACCCTACATAATCTCTCATAGTGCCTCCCACAAGGATGTTCACTACAGTATTGTCTATAACAGCAAAGATACAATTTAAATCTTTATGTCTTGGGTAATGGAAATATAAAATATGCTGCATTTACACAATGGAATACTGTAAGAGAAAGCAAATCTGTGTTAGAGCAACATGTAAAAACATTTAAAATCAATTTGTGAACCAGACATGAAAAGGTAGGTTGTAGAACATTCTTACTAGATTTTATAATATGCAATTTAAATGTAAAAACTCACCCAGGACACATGTAAGAATTAAAAAAAATCAGAACATTTAAATTTATAGTAATGGGTATTTCTACGGTGGAAGGGGACTTGACAGAGGAAATGGGCCTGAACATTCTGTTTAAAAGCAAAGATTAAAAAGATACAGGCAAAAAAATTGTCACCTCTCTAGAAGATGGTTACTGTTGCATGATTTGGACCTGTTTTACGTTTTTTCTAAACTGTTAACTACTTTTCAAAACTAGTACTAGCAGTTTTACTACTATATCACTCAAACATGCAATCAACTATGTTAAAAATTTAAAATTATACCTAGCATCATATAAAAGTGAGGGTGAATGAATACACTGGAGTTGCTGGTGGTGAAGAATGTTGTAGTGACACTTGATTACTCTGAAAATTAGGTATGAATATTCTGACACAAAAAATACACGTATATAATTACGAAGAAACACAAATAAACGTGAAAAATGTGAGTTTAATGGTAATCACAGAAATTCTAATTGGCAAAATACAAAAGACTACCCAGGGGAGCCAGGCTTTGGGCAGAGTTGGCAAGGACTATCTGGGATGACTAGCAATTGTAACTTGGCAATTTTGTCATTTTGGTTGAAATGCACACAGTTTTTCACCTTAGTGAAGATTTCCCCTCACAAAATAACTAAACAAGTGTGTGCACATGATAGGGTTATATAAATAAACAAGGTCATCAAACTTGGGTCTGTGTGTTCTCCAACTTACCTGACAGGGCATGTGGGCAAGAATCAGTTTCCAGAGCCTCAACTTTTTCTGGCACTAGGGATTGAACCTAGGGCCTTGCACATGCTGAGTTTGCACTCCACCGCTGAGCTACATCCCAATGTCCTCAGTACCTCAACTTCTCAATGTACTTTTTCTTACAACTGACATATTCTGTTAACATTTTGGGCTGGTTCTTAAGAATTACTCCACTCTTCCTTTCCAACTCCCCTCTCACAACTACTCCTCTCCCACTATACAAAAGAGAGAGATGTACATCTTCTTACCATCCAAATCTTAGTGGATGCATTTCCCAGTGGTAAAAAATTCTGGGCTCTAGTAGGGCATTTATACGGATGTCTCCTGAACACAGTGACGCAGATGCACTGTGTTCCTACACCGAATGAACTCTACCCAGCTGGGAGCTGGGGGTGCAGTGTGCTCCCCACAGTTCTTTGCAGTCTGATGGTACTAAAAGGCCTCTGAGGAGGGGCTAGAGAGCGAATGAAATGCTGCTATCTGTGGTGATATGAATGCTACTAATAAAAATAGTAATTTTTAGCTTTTACCAAACTAAGTTGATACTTAATGTTTATTACAAGTAATTTTTGATTACACATTGCTACGTGATTCTTGTTCATACCATTAAGAAGTAATTAAAAGGGCTAGGGATATAGCTCAGTGACACAAGTGCCTGCCTGGCAAGTGCAAGGTCCTGAGTTTGATTCCCAGTACCAAAAAGAAAAAAAAAGTAATTAAAATACCTGAGTGGCACTATTATAATAATACATTGATCATTTCTAAACTCTTAAAGCATTTCTATTATTTTAAACTTGCTATTATAAAGACTATTTGTTTGCCAACCATAAAAACAGAGATTAGAAAGATCAGAAATAGAAATAAGGCACACTCTCACTCATGCAAATAATACTGATTTGCGGGTACGTGACTATAGGGAGACAGCCCATCTATCTCCTTAAGGGAAAGTCATTTTCAGTAACTGAACATATGTTTATTTTACTTTGTGGTAAGTAAGGATTGCACACAGGCCCTTAAGCTCGCTAAACAAATGTTCTACTACTGAGCTACAACCCCAACCAAGAAAGTGTTTTTCAATCAAAATTTGTAACGCTTGTTTTGATCAATGATATATTCTAATAATTGTGGAAACATAACATAGAAGAAATGTTTATACTTTGAGATTTAATAAAAAGCTTTAGGCCGGGCATGGTGGTGCATGCCTGTAATCCCAGCACTTGGGAGGCTGAGGCAGAAGTATCATTGCACGTTCAAGACCAGCATGGGCTATAGTGAGCTCAAGGCCAGCCTGAACTGCATAGTGAGGCCCTGTCTCAAAAAGACCAAAAAAAAAAAAAAAGAAAAAAAGAAAAAACAAAGTTTTAGAACTCAATTGATACAAATATTTTTGTGGTGGATAAGTATGAGAGGCTAGTCAACAGGAATATCAAGGGTATCAGAAAGAATGATCTATATTTTCCAATAGTGAGTTTTTTCACACTTTTTTCCTAAAACAATTTCTACTGTTTTAAATTTATGATCATAAAGACCATAGGTTACAGGCTTTGAAATTCTGCTTAGTGATTAAAGCTGTATACACATTATCACGAGGGAGAAAAGGTATCTACCAATTAGTCAGGAGATAAAAATGGAATAAATGAAGAGGCAGTAGTAGTTATTTTATTTTTTAAGTAATTTTCTTTGGGATAAAGAAGGTAGGCAGCGCTAAGAGTAGGAAAAAAAACTTTCCTAAGATTCTCATACTAGAAAAATGGAAGCTACAGTAACAAATTTAACAATCAGTTCATTTGTAACTTGTACTGCAATCTCCATGTGCTTGCTTTGGTAAAAAAAAAAAAACAAAACTCCATTATAGATTTGCTCTATAAGACATTAATGCTAATAACAAGGGCAGTGAAGATTTACTGCATCCTGCAGTAAATGAGGTGCTCTGTGAGGTCTTCTTCTCTATGAAGCTAACCCTGACCACATCCTGTTAACTCTAAACTGGTAAGGAAACGGAAGTGCAGTGGGCTTGAAGAACTCACCAGAGGCCACCTGATTAGTAAACAGTGGGGTTGGATTTCAAACTCAAGCATCTGACACTGAAGCTCATGCTCTGGCCATTCTTCCACTTGTTTCTCTATTCCTGAAGTGTATCTAAGGCACTGTGTTAGGTGTATACGTGGGGAGGGAGGAGCGATCAGCAGCCCGAGAATCCACCAACAGTCCCCCCTACTACTCTCTTGTTTGGTAGTCACGGACTCTGCACCTGTGAGGAGGGCCAGACGCGAGAATAGAAGAACGAACCTGATTGGCTGCTCCCAGACTCTGGACCCTGTGAAGGGGACAGCGTGGCCACTGGCCTGAGGAGACAGAGGCTAACCCTTGCTCAAAGTGAACAGCTACCATGTGAGGACAGAAGCTGTCAGCACCAACATGCACGTTTCAGAGACCACGAGGACGGCACACAGTCCTAAGGACTGTGGAATGGCAGAGCTTTGGGGAAATTCTGTTTACAACTGAGACATTTCACAATTCTAATAAAATAATTTGCATAAAGGTATAGGAAAATTTGACAGTCATCACAACTCTCATTTTTTTTTTTTTTTTTTGGTACCAGGGATTGAACTCAGGATCCTGCGCTTGCCAGGCAGGCGCTTATGCCACTGAGCTATATCCCCAGCCCACAACTGTCACTTACTTACTTGAATAGTTTAATTTATTGCAAAGGGCTAATTGTAATTACTTACGTTTTCTTTTCTTGATATAGAGCATAACTTTTTTTCTATAGCCAGTAAATTGAATAAACTTTTTCAGTTGCTCAAAAGATTTACAAATATGTAGGTTTTCATCAAGGAGAGACCCTAAATGCCATTTCTAGGTATACGTCCACCATCTTAGTTTCCTCCCACTTTTGGGTAACATAAAATTACTGTAAAATCTAGCTGGGTGTGGTGGTACACACATGCAGTCCCAGTATTTTGGAGACTGAGGTAGGAGGATTGCCGTGACTTCCACAGCGTGGAGTACAGGACAAGACTCTGTCTCAAAAAAAAAAAAAAAAAAAAAAAGTCGTAAAATCCTTCTTTCAGGCTGTCTACTGCCTTCAGCAGGATGGTGCTGGCAATGTCCGCAGGAATAGCACACCTATGCCCTTGCCACTGCCCTGGGCCTTTCTTTGTGCTCACTCTGCAGGACCTGTTCCAGGTGCCTTTAAGGTGCGTCTCCTCATCCCTGCCCTGGGGTATGACGATCATCCCCTCTGACAAACTGGGAAACCAAGGCATCTGAAGGAGACAGAGGGTGCTTAACACAACATAGCTGGAAATCAACCCCGGGAAGTCTGACTGCAGAGCTGATCTTACCAACACAAGCATTCTGACCAAACAAAAACCAGTGGTTTTTCTCCGTAAAATGTTCCAGAAACATCTGCTCAAGGCCGAAATTGGGAGAAACAGCGTTCTTTTGGCTTGTTTACACACAGCCTCTCTGGGAGCTTGAGGTCTCCCAGGATTTAGGCACATTCCCACGCCCTTCATGCCCTAGAGTTGCTCCCGGCAGTGTAGCTGCCTTGGCCAGCTGTCAGCCCCACCCTCTCCCACATCACTCTCAGGGCCTGACCTGCCTGTGGGAGTGGGAGGTCCCTTGCTCACTTCCCTTCTGCCTGCTGGGTTTGCTTGACGCCCCCAGAACAATCTGAAGCCTTCCCAGAAGGCAGTCACTCATGTTTCTCCTGGAACCTCTGTCTGTTTCCCTTCCACGGAGCCACCACTTCCCTACTGGGCCCAAGGGGGTAATACATTTGTGGAGATTTGATTCTCTCCCATTTCTTTAAAATTCTCATTGTAAAGTGATCTGGTGCTACTTCAATGTTTCCCTCAAACACCCCACCCCCAAACCTTGTGCATCCACACAGTACTGGTAAGTTAACGACTCCATTACATCTCCTGCTCACAAAGCAGAGACTGCACAGCTTTTCCAGTGAGATCACAGAGCCCTAGCCTGTGAGACTGAGCCAGGGAGACCAAGGACGAGCTCTGGTGCCGGGCTCCGGAACCTGTCCTGCAACCACAAACCCTATTCCTCAAAGGCTGACACTGTGCAAGGAAAGGCAGAGCATTCCTCCAGCCTCACAGCATCGCTCCAGCTCTGCTCGGGCAGTAGGATGCAATGGTGAGTAGGAGCTAACACGGAATACCGAGGCCCCCTTCCCTGGGGGGTGTGCTCCAAGGAGAGGCCTGAAACCAGACGGCACTGAACCCATTATATACCTGAGGGTTCCCTGTACGTTCCTAACTATGGTGCAGTATGATGAGAACAGGTTAACTAATAATAAAGTAGAATTGTAGTAATATACTGTAATACAAGTTTGTACATGGCAAATATTCTTCCAAAGTATCTTGCTGTACTGGACTGTCCTTTCAGACTGCACCCGGCCAAATTAACTGGAACTACACAAAGTGAAGCAATGAATACAGAGGGACCACTGTGTGTGACTTGTTTTACTTTAACATACACAAATGTCAGGCTGTATCAGTTAAGTTTTAAATGGCAAATATTTTTTCTTATAAAGTAAACAATCATGTACAAACACTGTGGATACTATACTGTACTTGCTGAATTTCTCTTATTTAACCCTTTTTTTTGAACAAGACAGGGAGAGAGAAAGCAATTGCTTAAGTGAAGTTCTAAGAGTACCCACAGGCTAGAATTCACATGCATGTGTCATTTTATACTGTCCTCTAAAAAATGCCCAAAAAGTTACTAACAGCTATTTTGCATTTCTTTTTCACATCACTTTTCTTCTTCCCTTCAGGATACAAGGATGCAGAAGGACCCTTGGGATACCAGAGCCCCCAGTCTCCTACCCTTCCTGCACCACTTTATAAGCTAGAGGCCTGAGGTTAGGGAGCTTATAGTTCCTTTTCAAGCATTTCTTGGCCTCCCCGCAAGTCAGGTTTTTGTCTCCTCTCGTCTGGAGATGCAGATCTTTTTAAAGTCATTGGTAGCTTGGGCGGGGATCAGACCCAGAGCTCTGGCAGCATTCACAGGGGGCGCGTGGGGCCTCCTCCTCATGCGCCCTCCCTGTGGAGACTCCAGGATGGTGCTCCGGCTCTGTTCACTCCTTCCCTGGCCACCTTCTCTTCCTGCCTCTTTTACTTCACGAGGCTCTAATGTGCTTTTCTTCCCAGGTGCTGCCACTCAGACTTGGGCTTAAAGTGTAGTCCTTCTCTGGTCTGGATCTCCTCTCAACACCAGCCCTGACACCTCACAATTCTCTTACACTTACATGTCAAGGATTGACTTCTACTTACTCCAAATATTCTGTTGCCTGAGGCTTCCCCAGTATGATAAAATTCAACCTTCATTCTCCTGCTGTCAGGCCAAAAACTGCAGTGCCATCTCTGACTCACTCTACCCCGGTAAAACCTAATCCATCAGTAAATCTCCATGGTGCTACCTTCAGAAAATCCAGAACTTGACCCGTCCTCATCCTCACTTCCTCCTGCACTTCCAAGTCTAAACCTCTTGAGTTACTGCAGTGAAACTGCAATCTTGTTGGTTTCCTAAGTTTCTACCCTGGTGCTCCTGCACCATGGGCTGTAATAAATCTTTTTTTTTTTTAATTTTAAAGAGAAAAAAATACAGAATTTCAAAACAAGAGGATATGCAATTAATGGTTGTTATATTGCATATTGTTATCTTCAAAGTGTTTGCTCAGATTATCAGATACAGGCATGCAAAATTGATTAAACAATATAAACAGTAACTGTTCCTTTCAGTGAACTAAGAGGAATTGGTAGTACAATTTTTCCTTTCTTCCTTTCTATTTTTCCCTGTCCCAGCTGTTCTTTCCTTTTGAACAGTTTCTTTCCCTTTCACTATACCTATTGTACCTTTCAGATCTTATTTACTCTTTCAGTTTCTTCACTAGGGAAACAATAATGATGTTTACACATGTGAGTCTGATTTATTTCACTTATGAGTATGGTCTCTAGTTGCATCCATTTACCTATAAAAGCCTTGAGTTTATCTTTCTTTATAGCTGAGCAATAATACTCCACTGTATAAAAATACCATATCTTTTTTATCCATTCCTCAGTTGATGGGCATTTGGATTGTTTCCAAGATTTAGCTGTGACAAACTGTGCTGCTATAAACATGGCTGCACATATATCGCTGTGGTACGATGTTTTTAATTCTTCTGGGAAAATATCCACAAGGGGAATAGCTGGGTTAAGTGGGACTTCTAATCCTAGTTTTGTGAGGAATCTCCACACTGATTTCTGCTGTTTGCACATGCAAGTCTGGTTTATAAAAATAGATGCAACTAGCGACCATACTCGTAACAAACTGTTTAAACATCGATTTCAGGTAATAGTGCTCCTTGGTTCAAAACCCACTAATGGCTTCTCATCTCATTTAGAGAAAAACACTCCAGTCCTCCACTGCTGAATGAGCCTCAGATGCTGACTCTGCACCCTCCTCTCCTGCTGCAGGCTTTGAGGACTCAAGGACAGAAGCGATCTGAGCTCTGACGTAACAGGCAGATTCCAAGGTCCCCGAGACTTGCCCCTGTTTCACGGACTCCTCACTGAAGTGTTACTTCATCAGAGAGGTCACTGACCTCTCAAACCAACATTCTCCTTGTTTCCCGCTTTATAATTCTCAGTGTCTGCCATCAGATCATACTCTTATTTTTGCTCATCTGTGATTACTCTTTATTGCCTAGGTATTCTGACAAGAATGTGGAGTACGTGAGCAAAGGGTTTCATGTATCCACCGAGGCAGAGCTGGTGTCAAGGCCAGCGCCCTGCCATCACAAAGGGACATAAGTAATCACTGAGGGTGAGTGCACGCCATGGCCTGGAGGTAAGGAGCATCTTCCCTCGTCTGGTGCATGGCAACAACTCCACCAGCAACACACAATGCTGGTAAGACGACAGCAACTTCAGAGCACACATCAAAGCCTGGTAGGGGAACAACTGAAGACTGGTTCTTACTGAAGGGTGGTGTAAGAATTACCTGGAGTCTTTAAAAAATGTACAGGCCCACGCTTAACCACCGAAGAATTAGATTAAGGGAAAGAAAACAGGGTAAATGTATTCTTAAAAGTAAACCCCAAGGGATTCTGATATTTAGTCTCTGTTAAAATCCATTAGTCAGAGTCTCAAAAGGCATGTGGTAAAGGCAATAAATAATACACATTAAAAAAAAACAAACCACATACCTGACTGGGGACTCAAAAATATTGCTGTTTTTTGTTTCTTTTTGTCTTCATGTAAAATCACTGCCTAAAAAACGAAATAGACTGGTTTATAAAATGGAAAGGGAGTACATCTACAACAGAATGAAACCATAACCAGAGAGGGCTGAAATGAGCCATGTGGATGGTAGAATTCTTTACGCTAACTGGCAAGACAGGCAAGTACGCTTCAGCGAGGCCCAGCACACCTCACCACACACACATGCACGTGGCACAGAGGCTGGGACGATGAGCATGAAGTCAGCAGAAGGGGCACGCAGCACAGACCCGCGAGCTCTCGGCAAGTGTGGCAAGTGTGTGGTGA